TCTCTCTGTCTCTCTCTGTCTCTCCAGTGACTGGACACACCCTATAGCAAATGTCTTTCAAAAAGAAAAGAAAGAAAGAAAGAAAGAAAGAAAGAAAAAGAAAGAAAAGAAAGAAAGAAAAAGAAAAAGAAAAAGAAAAAGAAAAAGAAAAAGAAAAAGAAAGAAATCTAAGAGGAATAAATTGGGATCTAGGGCTAGGCAAGAACTATTAGACTTGACATCAAACTTGTGATCTATAAAATGAAATGGATTGGGATCAGCAATTGGCATAATGGCTATGTTGTTGGACTCCCATTTAATTGACCACAGTTTGAGTCCTGGATCCAGTGGCTTAAACTCATGCCGGTTGCATGTGCATGTGTGCACAAAGTACTGAGAAGAGAATGGAGGAGAAGGGATTGTGGCATGGCCATCCCCCTTGGGGGGTAATTTCTTGCTTTCTGCCTCATTTCTCTCTCTGTCTTTCTGATGAGTGCACATACCCTATAGCAAAAACCTCTCGAAAAAAAGAAATAAATAAATGGATAAATTACAGTTCATCAACTATATACCCCTAGGCAGTGTGAAAGGCGTTTTAAAGAAGGGAGAATAACTGAGGATTAGCCTTGAAAAAGTATCTGCAAACCATATATTCATCCAAGGGCTAGCATCTGGAATGTGTAAAGAATCCTCAAAGTACACACACACATGCAACAAATAAACAACTCATTTCAAAATAGACAAAAGGCACTGAGAGTATTCTCATTGAAGATACAAAAAGGAAAATCAAGTACTTGAATAGATGTTAGCCATTTCATAAGAATACAAACTGAAATGATAGTGAGAGGGGCCAGTATGTGATTAAGGCAGCTGGATCCTTCATGCTCAACCACACAGTTAGAGTCTCGGACCTGGTGGCTTGAAAAATATACCAGGTGTGTGCCTGTGTGTGTGTGTGTGTGTGTCCAATACTCCAAGAGGCAGAAATGGTGGAGAAAGGATTGCAGAAAGTAAGATGCTTGGGCTTGAAAACTTGACCATGGGGACATGGGAGGGGGGGATTTCTCTCTCACTCTCACTCTCACTCTCACTCTCTCCCATGAGCACACAAGTCCTGCACCAAATTAAGAAAGAAAAAGTCACAGTGAGATAGTTCAACACAGCCATCAGAATGTCTTTAACAGAATATCCTAAGTGTCACATGTACTGGTGAGGCTGTGGAAAAAGTGGGTCTCTACATATCAATGGAGGTATGTAAGATTGGATTTCCACTCTCAACAACAGTGTCATAGTTTTTAAAACTAAAGCACACACCACAAAACCAACCACATGCAGGAGCTCTAGAACCAGAAACACACAATGACTATGCCCTCTTCTCCTCCTCACCCCCCAACCCCTGATATTTGTCCCAAACAGGTGAAAACTTATGGTGCGGTAAAAGCTTTGCTCAGGAGGTCTGGGATGCTCAGAACCTGCACATTCCAAAGACCTATCTGGCCTTGCTTGAGTCCTGGGAGGAAGCCTCTAAGCCCCTGGAAATTCTCCGTGCTGAGACTGTCTTGGTTCATGAAGTTCACAATAACAACATGGACTATGGGGGAGGCCTAGGGTCCTGTAGTGTACTTCAGACCTTCAGGGGAGTCAGCTTCATGGACTCCCATGTGTCCTTCTGGGCAGACATAAAGCCCACGACCAGACAATACTTACATGCAGAAAAGATGTACTTGAAAAAACTGGGACAAAAGGGACCAACAATTAGCATAATGGCTATGTCGCTGGACTCCCACGGAGTCGACCGCAGTTTGCTTCTTGGACCTGGTGGCTTAAACTCAAGCTGGGCGCGTGTGCGTGCATGCCCAAGATCCCGAGAGGAGAATGGAGGAGAAGGGATTGCGTGGCCATCCCCCCAGAGGGTGATTTCTCACTTTCTATCTCTCTGTCTCTCTCTGTCTGGTGAGCACACATGCCCTATAGCAAACACCTCTCCAAAAAAAAAAAAAAAGAACATTTTTTTTGTCCCAGTTTTTTTTTTTTTTTGAGAGGTTTTGCTATAGGGCATGTGTGCTCACCAGACAGAGAGAGACAGAGGGATAGAAAGTGAGAAATCACCCTCTGGGGGGATGGCCACGCAATCCCTTCTCCTCCATTCTCCTCTCGGGATCTTGGGCATGCACGCACACGCGCCCAGCTTGAGTTTAAGCCACCGGGTCCGGGACTCGAACCGCGGTTGAATACATGGGAGTCCAGCGACATAACCATTATGCTAACTGCTGGTCCCAAAATGGATGTTCTTTAATGAATGAATAGTGATTCAAACAGTAGGGGGAGTTGCAGGGACAGAGAGAAGGGTTTGGAGTTACGCACTGGAAGGAGAATAAACCTACCTGGTGTGAGGAGCTCATAGTTACATTATCCCTCACCTCACAGCCCAGTACCTGGGGAAAGGGGACCCTGACTGCACTGGGGGCTCTCTACATCCTCAGCCTCTTCCCCACACAGGTAGTCCTGACTGAGCAACATGGACTCCTCAACCATCCAGAGCAGGGGCTGCACTAGTGTGCAGTATCTGCAGACAAAAACATGAGAGTATATTTACAACATATGGTACAGCTTGACAGTCCAGAACAGTGTGCAGAGGAAAATGCATAGCCACATTTCTGACATACATAGTCTTATACTTTATATCATTTTATTTTTAATTTGCCAAAGAGAGAAGAAAAGTGAGAAAGAATACCCTAGGTGGGATGGCCATGCCACAATCTCTTCTCCTTCATTCTTCTCCAAGGACTTGGAGCACACATGCACATGGGTCCAGAGTCTTCTCCAAGCTTCTGCTCTAGGACTTGAACTGCACAGTCTGCTATGTGAGATCCAGTTGTTGTAACCATCATGCCACTTGCTGACCCCAATTATTCTTTAAGAAACTACATGTATGATAAACCAGTTAAAAGAAACAATTTTGTTATGGTCCATGAGATGCTTCCACAACTGAGGAAAATTGCTAGTTTTGCGTGCACACACATACACACACACACACAGTTTTGGTACCAACTGTACCCTAGATGTGTATGCTGTGTGGAAGGTGAGACGGTATGGTCCACTTCCTCTTTAGGAGAGGTCATCACATTTACTGCATGGCTGCATCTCCTTCCTGGGTTCTGGTTGTTGTGTGTCATAAATACTGTTTAGGTCTATCTTCCCCAGTCTGTGTAACCCCTACCCTTCCCCAAAAGCCCCTCTGATAATGGTGACATGCCCAGCCTGCAACTGGAAGGTGTACGAGGTCTTTGTTTGAAACCATGCTTTGCTCCAGTACTTTGATGTCTGGAGGTCATGCTGTTACCCCATAATCTTGTCATACAAGTTTCCTTTCTGTAGGTCCCTCACAGAAAGCATCTCACCACCTACAGCTGCCTGAGTCTTGCACACTGAGAGCTCTCCCTCCACTTCCTGCTCCCTGGGCAATGTTTGTACAGAGCCATGGGGAGGGGGTTCAAACAGCCTCTCTTCTATCCATGGTGGTGCAATGTTTCCCTTGAGAATGTGTCTCTTAGGAACCACAGCAGAAAAGCAAACCCATAACCCCACAGGTTGGGCTCACACCTCGCACAATAAAGAAAAAGTGGGGCCAAGTGATGACAGAAAGTCACACTCAAGGGACCAGCAGTTGGCGTAATGGCTATGTCGCTGGACTCCCATGTAGTCAGCCATGGTTCAAGTCCTGGACCTGGTGGCTTAAACTCACACCGGGTGCATATGCATGTGTACTCAGGACCCCAAGAGGAGAATGGAGGAGAAAGGATTGCAGTGTGGCCATCCTCTTCCCGAGGGAGAGGGGGTGATTTCTCACTTTCTGTCTCTGTCTCTCTCTGTCTTTCTGGTGAGTGCACATGCCCTATAGCAAAAACCTCTCCCCCCAAAACAAGACAAAACAAAACCCCAAAGAACAACAACAGCAAAAAAGAAAGTCACACTCAAGAGTAGTGTGACATCAGCCATGTGGGAAGGTAACACCAGGCCTGCTCTCCTTGTGATTTTAGTTTCAGGAAATTGATTAGTCTTTAATCATGCAGCATAATGATAAGCCCACCTTACAGGATTGTTGAAACATACATTTGTGGCCACAAACTCTAAAAAGGAGGCAGAAAAGTGAAATATACATTTCCATCTTCCAGGAGCTCTGCAGTTCTGGGACCATCTGTGTTCCTGCCTGCACTCCCTACAGGACTGGGGCTCCCAAAAGGGCTGAGCATGTTCTTATTTTCTAAAATGTATTGATCATCCTTTCAAATCAAAAAAAGGGAACCTAAGGTGATTGATGGACAGTTGTGCAGTGAGCACACAGCAACCTTCCCTGTTGCCCCGATGGGATGAGATAGGATGGGGTGGTGTGAGATGGTGTGGGATGGGGTAGGATGAGAGGGATGGGATGGGGTGGGATGGAATGAGAGGTGTCCCTGAGGGGAATACACAGGTACAGATAGGCAAGATAGCTTCTCACTTGGCTCCTGGGATTGAGTCCAAGCCTTTGTGACCGGGCTGGTCTGTCACTTCTGCTGCTCTCCCATGATCGAGGAGCTACCATTATAAAATTTTCTACTGTTCAGACAATGGGGAAAGCAGTTCTCAGCTTCATGCTGGCTTACCATTAGCTGAGCCCATATAGTTTAAAGGCCTGAACCCAAAGCTGAGAACTGCTATTTTAGTTACTGGGTCCAGGTTTTCCAGCTTCATGGCAAATGTGGAGATGTCTCAGAAGTGACAAAATACAAGTCTAGTGTGTCATTCCCCTTGTGCTATCTAAGCAGGTAAAAAAACTTTGTCATCACAAAATCCTCTGAGCTATAAATGTCACTTTCCTCCACTGTCTTCCTCATATGTGACAGGTCATCCAGTCCCCCATGGACTACAAGTCCAATACCATAGTTCTAGTCCTGAAATTGCATGAATGCTGCAGGAGAGAGCTCGAGTGAGTGGAAGCAAGCTTGGCCACCATCAGTCAAACCCTTGGGCTCTTGTAGGCACTCAAGCTCCAATAGTCTCTGAGGAAGGAGACAGAGAAGAGAATTCCACCATTCCCACCACCACCTTTTGGTTTCATTCAGCTGTGGCAGCCTGTCACCAGGTGAGATCTCCTTGAGTAAAGTCATGTACATCATGGCAAGCATTCCAGAGTTTAAAATGTCAAGCACTTGGTATTAATACAATATATTTCTTGTTTTCTCAAATATACAAAATATGCATTTCTAGAGGTGTTTTCTTTTTCTTTTTTATAAGAATCACTAAATTTGTAGCTGCAATGGCTGCCCCTGGTCTGCCAGCAGAAGTACTTGCCTGGGCAGCACTAGTTCCAGCCCCTCTTCTGCTGATGCAGCAGATCTTAGCTGGGGAGATAAGGCAGTGGGCCACAGTACTGGAAGAGCTTGGCGCCCTGTGCTTCAGGTAGTGGAGGGACAGATAGGTGACAGCAAAGACCAGTAGTTGCAGCCTACCCAAGGGCACCTGTACTTTTAACCCCAGTGAGTGCTCTGGGAGCTTTGAAATGAGGAAATAGCACAAACTTCTCTGGGTCCAGGGCAGACAGGGTGCTTCTCCAAACAGGGCAACTCCTTCCATCTACTGAACACATGGGGGGGGTGAGTGGAGGGGAGCACACAAAGGAACTGGAGGGAGCAGGGAAGTTTGGACTGTGGATTGCCAATTTTGAAGCAACTGGAGCAGGGCAAGATGGAGGTGGATTAAACTCAGGGGCATCCTTGCTTGTCTGCCAGGACTTCCAGGTCTGAGCCTGGAGGTGAAGAGGAAAGTAAGTGGCCTGCTGTGACAGGAACTGACGTATTTGCAGGGACATGGCATGGAATCCTGCCCTTGAAGTCAGAGAACAGCAGAGGGGTGTGGCGGGCACAGAGGTGGCTTGCACAGAACACCAAGGGTGGTTTCTCTGCTCTCTGGTCTGTAGAAAGGTACATGTCTTGATCCAGAACTAGGGGCTTTTTTGCAATGTGTTTGCTATCAGAACATACGTGTCATAAAAACCACCACTAAATCAAAGCCAAAATGTGAAAGGAGAAGACCCACATCAACATCATTGTCATTGGACACGTAGATTCCAGCAAGTCCACCACTACTGTCCATCTGATCTACAAATGTGGTGGGATCGACAAAAGAACCATAGAAAAATTTGAGAAGGAGTCTGCTGAGATGGAAAAGGTCTCCTTAAAATATGCCTGGGTCTTAGATAAACTGAAAGCTGAATATGAGCGTGGTATTACCATTGATATCTCCCTGTGGAAACTTGAGACCAGCAAGTATTATGTGACTACAACCAATGCCCCAGGACACAGAGACTTTCTCAAGAACGTTATTACAGGCCCATCTCAGGCTGACTGTGCTGTCCTGATTGTTGCTGCTGGTGGTGAATTTGGTGTCTCCAAGAACGGGCAGACCAGTGAGCATGCCATTCTGGCTTACATACTGGGTGTGAAACAAGTAATTGTTGGTGTTAACAAAATGGATTCTACTGAGCCACCCTACAGTCAAAAGAGATATGAGGAAATTGTTAAAGAAGTCAGCACCTACATTAAGAAAATTGGCTACAATCCCGACACAGTAGCATTTGTGCCAATTTCTGGTTGGAATGGTGACAACATGTTGGAGCCAAGTGCTAATATACCATGGTTCAAGGTATGGAAAGTCACCCATAAAAATGGCAATGCCAGTGGAACTACACTGCTTGAAGCTGTGGATTGCATCCTGCCACCAACTTGTCCAACTGACAAGCCTTGCATCTGCCCCTCCGGGATGTATACAAAGTTGGTGGTATTGGCACTGTCCCTGCTGGCTGAGTGGAGACAGGTATGCTCAAACTGGTGGTCACCTTTGCATCAGTCAATGTGACAATGTGACAACTGAAGTAAAGTCTGTTGAAATGTACCATGAAGCTCTGAGTGAAGCTCTTCCTGGGGACTACATGGTTTTCAATGTGAACAACATGTCTGTCCAAGATGTTTGATGTGGCAATGTAGCTGGTGACAGCAAAAATGGCTCACCAAAGGAAGAAGCTGGCTTTACTGCTCAGGTGATTATCCTGAACCATCCAGATCAATTAGTGCTGGCTGTGCCCCTGTACTGGGTTGTCACACAGCTCACATTGCTTGCAAGTTTGCTGAAGGAAAACATTGATCACCATTCTGGTAAAAAGCTGGAAGATGGCCCTAAACTTTTGAAATCTGGTGATGTTGCCATTGTTGTTATGGTTCCTGGAATGCCAATGTCTGTTGATAGCTTCTCTGACTATCCTCCTCTGGGTCGTTTTGCTGTTTGTGATATGAGACAGACAATTGCTGTGGGTGTCATCAAAGCTGTGGACAAGAAGGCTGCTGGAGCTGGTAAGGTCACCAAGTCTACCCAGAAAGCTCAGAAGGCTGAATAAATATCCCTGATTCCTGCCACCTCAGTGGTGGAAGGACAGTCTCAGAACTGTTCATCTCAATGGGTCATTTAAGTTTAATAGTAACAGACTTGTTAATGATAATGCATCATCATAGTTGACCACAGTTCGTGTCCAGACCTGGTGGCTTAAAACTCATGCCAGGCAAATGTGCGTGCATGCCCAAGAGCTGGAGAAGGGAATGGAGGAGAAGGGATTGTGGCAGGGCCATCCCCTCTAGGGGGTGATTTCTCGCTTTCTGTCTCTCTGTCTCTGTCTTTCCAGCGAGTTCATACACCCTGTAGCAAAAACTCTCCAAAAAAGAGGGACCAGCAGTTAGTGTAATGATAACAATGCATAGGAAAACCTTCAGAAGGAAAGGAAAATGTTTTGTGGACCATTTTGTTTTGCGTGTGGCAGTTTTAAGTTACTAGTTTTTAAAATCAATACTTTTTAATGGAAACAACTTGACCAAAAATCAGTCTGTCACAGAATTGTGAGACCCATTAAAACAAAGTTTAATGAGACCCATAAAACAAAGTTTAATGAAGGAAAAAAAAAAAAAAAAACCTAGGGCAAGTGACCCCTAGGGGAGGGATGGAAGGAGAGGCTACAATCTGGTGTGGGGAGATCTTGTTGATAACAGCACTGTTTTGGTGAGAGCTCTGGGAGGACATAGGTCAGGATGGAGGGAAGGCAGAGGTCCCACGCTGGTGGCTGAAAATGGTGACCTGCTCTGTGTTGTATGTTAGCAGAGCGGTGGGTGGGGCAGGGATTTGCAGGGGCCAGTCCTTGGGGGGAAGCTGCGCAGGCTGACGCAGTCAGTGAGGAGCCTGTCTGGACTATGATGCTGCTTCACCTGTACTTCTTAGGCCCCAGAATAGTAATAACTTGAGGAATAGGTGGGTAAACCTTGTCCATCCCATGCCTTCTCTGGACCAGCTCCTGGGGCAGTCATAGAGGGCAAGGTTCATGGGGTGGGCTGCCCCTCCCAGGTGTGTGAGGCTCCAGATTGTTGTGGAAGCAGCTGCCTCCCGGTAGGTCGCGGGCCCAGCTCAGCCTCTGGCAGTGCAGACACCAGCTGGTCCTGCAGGGCTGGGGACAGGGGACACGGTACTGGGTGGGCGGCTCAATGGGGGTGCGTTGGGACACTCCACGTGGATCCAGCGAGCTTCCTGCCTTCCCCACAGGCTAGGGCCACGAGCTCCAGCAGGAGTCGTGGCATAGAAAGGACTCTGGCAGGACCTTGCAGCCAACAACAGGCCCTTTTCAAAGGCACACCCAAGAAGCAGGACCTCTTGCCTGGTCAGCCCTGTGCTAAGGTTCCTGCGGCCGCTTTCCCCCACGCATTCTCCAGCCAGAGCTGCCCCCCACCTGCAGCCTCAGATCACTGTCATATTGGGCAAAGCAATAGACGAAAGGAAAACCATTGTAGAAATATGTGGAGTTTCCCAGACAGCTGTAGAAAGAGGAAGAAGACTCTAGGAAGGCCCTTTCACTGTCCCCCAGTATTGCTTGGGCAGGACATGCCAGGAGATTCCAAGAGAGGGGCTGGAGAAGTTGAAGGAGTCAGGAGACCAAAAATTGCACAGCAGCCTGGAGAAGTAAGCTCCCTGAGGAGTTTCTCCCTTGGTTTCCAAGGACAAGATGGTGACAACCTTCCCTTCATAATGTAATCTGGGAAATAATTCACAATATCACTGTTTTTAACCATGGGGAGATCATAATAGTCTTCTAAGCCAACTGGAGGTGAGCTCTCATGTTTGCTGTTTTTACAGATTTGGGAAACAAAGAAATAAAGATCCTGGAGGGAAATGGGCCCAGAGATGGTTGTGCTTCAAAACAGCAGACATGCGATGGGATTTAGATACTGAGGAGATGGATGGAGAAGAGGTAGAGACTGCTGGGAAAAAATACTGAACTTACAATGTCATAAAGTTCATGAGAATGTAGGGTGAATACAGTACAATTGGAGAAATGGGGGGGTGGGGGTGGTAGAGATGGTTCTTCAATTTGAATATAAAATAAAAAGAAACAATGGGTATTGGTCAGGAATGTTTGTAGTTTTCATTGCAGTGAACTAAAGACTTTCCTCAAAAATCAATCTGTCACAGAATTTTGAGATCCATTAAAACAAAGTTTAATGAGACCCATAAAACAAAGTTTAATGAAGGAAAAAAAAAAATTAAGGCAAGTGGCCCCTAGGAGAGGGATGGAAGGCTACAATCTGGTGTGGGGAGACTTTGATGATAACAACACTGTTCTGGTGAGAGCTCTGGGAGGACATAGGTCAGGATGGAGGGAAGGCAGAGGTCCCACGCTGGTGGCTGAAAATGGTGACCTGCTCTGTGTTGTATGTTAGCAGAGATGTGGGTGGGGCAGGGATTTGCAGGGGGGTCCTTGGGAGGAAGATGCACAGGCTGACACAGTCAGTGAGGAGCCTGTCTGGACTATGATGCTGCTTCACCTGTACTTCTTAGGCCCCAGAATAGTAATAACTTGAGGAATAGGTGGGTAAACCTTGTCCATCCCATGCCTTCTCTGGACCAGCTCCTGGGGCAGTCATAGAGGGCAAGGTTCATGGGGTGGGCTGCCCCTCCCAGGCGGTGTGAGGCTCCAGATTGTTGCAGAAACAGCTGCCTCCCAGTAGGTCGCAGGCCCAGCTCAGCCTCTGGCAGTGCAGACACAGA